TAACTCGATTATAAGATCAACCAGTGAATCACTTGTTTTATAATATACTCCCTATTTTAACTCAAAAAAAAAGCGTTTACATAGAGCATAAGTAAGTATTAAAATGATCGGATTTCATGTCTTTATGAAGTCGCGAATAAAAAAGTAATTCTTTTTTGCATTCTGCTTGTTCACATATACAAAGAAAATGCATGAATATTATAACGCACAATTTAAAAAAATGCCTTGAAGGTACAAAAAGCCTTATTCTTTTCTTCCACTTTGTAATGAGAGAGAAACATATTCATGTTTTTGTTAAATAATTGATGTATAACTATTATAAGTTTGATTTGAAAACAAAAAATGTTCAAAGGCGAAAGAGTATCAAACATATGAGAGAAAGAGAGAGAGAAACTTTCTTATAACATTTTTAAACGATTTATGAATCTTTGATACATCTTTAAAAGAGAAAAACACGAAAAAATCATGTAGTATCCACTTTTCTAATTCATCTCTTTATTTAAGATAATAATAACCTATGTCTTATTTTATTCTATGAATAGTACTTGATTACTTTTCTAATTTGCAATGTTTTGTTTTTTTGAAAAGGTATGCAACCGTTTTGTCGTCTCAACAATGTATGGCCACTTTTGTTTTTTGACTATGAATTCAATTAAAATATTAATTAATGTCTTGGGATCTAACTAAAAACAGAATAATTGACTGACAGGTCAATGACATTTCTACTTTGACTCTATTTTGTCATGCCATGCTTCATCATTTAGTAGAAAAATATATTTCATTGCCAGATTTATACCATCGTTCTAATTGACTTTTTTTTTGCAGATATACATTGTCTTTAAAAACATCATCACATTCTAATTATACACCTTTTTTAAGAAATGAAAAAGGTACCGTTTTCGTATCTCTCTCTCTCTCTCTCTCTCTCATCCAACTAGTGCATATGTCGTATAAAAAAAGAACCGAATGAGATTTGAAACTGCCATCATATAAAAAAAGTAAAAAAAGTAATGATCTTTTTTTTCTTCTATCGTGACGTATGCCTGTTGTATTTTTCTCATCAGATTTCGTGATTGAAAAAAAAAGAAATGATGATGATGACAAAGCTTCGTAATTATAATGAACACCCGTGAAAGACCTACAGACACACACACAGATTGTATGAAGTAAAACGAAGAAACTTGTCTTTTATATAAATTAATGATCACAATGTTTGTCGTGTTTAGAAAATAATATGAAATGCAGCAACAAAATACCTTTTTGGTCCCTTTTTTTTGTTATTTATTTTCAACATCGAGATACATCATTCATTTAGAGAGATGTTTTTCCTCAAGACTGTTGGCATTGAGTCGAGTTATAGCATTTTATTGATCGTGAATATGAGTGGCCGGTGTTGGTGGTAGGTTGATGCAACAATCTATTTAAAAAGAAAACGAATGGTTAGATTGCATATTCATTCTCTCGGAAAGTATAAACAACAAATCAAAGAGTCTTCTATTAATGCATAAAATTTTACCAAAAATCTTTCGCACCTGAAACGATGGAACATTTCTACACACAGGATTCTACTATATCATACTATAGTATTCTTACACCGTTATTGAACAAATGTTGATCCTATACCATGATACATCATAGTGTAGACTTTTACCTATGAGTGAACATAGTTTAAAAATATTTCTCACCTAAAAATATCTTGTTTTCCATTTTTCAACAAATTCTTTGTTGTTTTTGATGAGTCTTTCAATCCTATTAGCATATTAATTAGATCAAAATACCTGTTGTCTTCTTTGCCTTTCTGTATGTATATTGTATATTTTCAATTTCTATGTGTATATGTCTAAAATAGATATGTGCTTGGGGATAAATATGTGTGTATATGTCTAGAATGATAAGTGTTTAGAGAGATGGAGAACGATGATCAAACGTATATTAAAATACTTATTAAATAGAGACGAAAATGATGAGAAGGAGATGCAATGGTAATTCGTGGTATGTTAAAAAATCTTCGGCTTATCAAGTTGCTGTACAACACTATATATATTTATTTAGACATAAAGTCAATATTGAACTGACTGGAACGTTATTCTAAACACGATTAATGTTACAACAACAACGGCCAGAATAGAAATTATAACATTGAGTGTGACTTAAGATATATTTTATGTACAAAAAAGAACCGAGGTTTTAATCTGTCATCATATAGACCTGTTTGGATCTATGATAGATAAAACTTTCATAGAAAAAATAGCTATATGATTACAGAACTTTTTACTAAAAAAATAATTGATAAAAAATAGAAATTTATGAGTTAATGTATCTTGTTCTACAATTTTCATTTCTTAATTTTGAGAAAACTACTGAAAAACATACCAACCTGAACTTTATTTAATTCGTACTTTTCTTGAATAGATTTTTTCTTTTTCTTCTTGCATCATTTTTCCACTAATTTTTCTGCTATTCATAGAAAACAAGAATGTCTCCTTCTAAATACTTCACTTTGATGTAATACTCTGAATCGTTTACTCAATATTATTGTTATTTAATATACATATACACACATATTGAGACCGTCTCATTTGAACTTATCCATTCTATTTATGCTTGCTTGCAGCTGTTTTTGACGCTTTTAATACATATTCTCTGAATGAGCTTTCGAATATTTGTCAAGTGTTGTTATTAGAAAGGGAAAGAAAAGTAACAACTTCTAATTTTAAACATCACTATATTCAAGAAACAAATGAGAATGGTATAATCCGTTCGATGAAAGGTGGAACACAGATGAATTAATCGAAATATTTTTGATTGTAACAAAAAAAAACATGATGCTGAGAGTATTATATGTGCAGTATGATTACGTATGTAATTTTGGAAAGAAAATAGAATGATTTCCAGTTTTTGTATTGGCCTGAAATTTGGTATGATGTACATATATAGCAAATATTTTCTTAATTTTAGGAGAAAAATTCAATCTATCATAAATCATGTGCACATGTCTAATATGAATAGGTTTTTAAGAATAATCGCGACTGAAAGTGTTTCTCGGTCTTTGAAAAATGTTTACTACGATATTTATATTTCAATCATGGTTCACTACGACTTCAGACATATGAAAAGACCTTAAAAGCTAAGAGTAAAGAACGTATCAGGATTATCTTCGAATTAAAAGCATATAACAACTAGTCTTTTTTATTTTTCTATTTAAAGCTGTGATTGTAAGAGACTATGTATTTTTGACAGACGATTAATTTTTAGAATGTCTTTTACAAAACTTTAATTATATGTATCAATTATGTGACCATTTGTAGAGATGTCTCAATGGCAGATTTAGAATTTTTCTAAGGTACATGCAGTAGGTAAGGAAAGTATGAAGTGTTTGGAGTGTGTTCATAGAATGTTTAGCAAAAGCCATAAATTTGAATTGATTTATCATGGTTATGAAGTTAGAAATGTGAAATTCTGCCGGGATTTTCTTCTTCATTCCGGGATTCTTTCCAGTTCTGATCTAAAAAGCCTTGACTACAACTTGCTGGCACCCTGCTTAATCCAACACTGTAAAAATGTTTTGAAGAGAGAGTGAACATGTTTGTTTGATGCCATTCTTAATTTACAAGAAAATAGCGCCATATTTTCACGACTAAAGCGTTTTTTTGAAACATGCTTTCCTTTTTCTGCCAATAGGAAGGTTAGAACTCCGTACAATAGCATGCTTTTGGAGAAAAGTACATAGCGTAGTTAGCAAAAACAACGCACCGTTTAGAAATCTCAATCAGCAAACTTTGAATCAACATCATGCACTATCGTACACTGGAATGGAAGATATCTTTTCTCATTCGCTTGTGTGTGAATTGTGCCTGTCATTTTTTCTACAGATTGAATTCTTTCTCTTTTTTTTTTCAGTTGACTTACATAACGCCTCTATGGTGATTTATCTTTCTTCTCAACAAAACCAGGTTTTTTCTTGTATACATTTATATACGAAACTAGATTGGTTAACTTTTTTTTCTCATTGTTAATCGCTACAAAAAATTTCATTGGTCGATTGTTTACGAAAGAAAAATAATTCTATTTGTTGATAAAATAAAGAGTAGAACATGCAAAATATTGAGCGAGAGAGAGAGAGGAAAAAGAATATGAGTTTTCTATCAATCAAGTTAAACTGTAATACGCCTGAGACTGTAATATTATTTTTTTGTTAATAGATACACACTCGCCTGTCAAATAGTTAAGAAGAATTTTTCTATACGAAGAAATAAAATATGCTACCTGTTTTAGAAACAAGGCCTTTAAAGAAATCGTGTCGTTATGTTAAATGAGAATAGAGCTTAAGCCTTTATCATCACATAGTATTTTTTACACACACGATATGCATGCAAAAAAAGACGAAAAAGAAGAAAAAAAGACGACGACAATCCTGTTGTACGTGTTTTAAAGTTTGAAGACTTTATCTTTAAGCAGTAAGTATTTATTTATGAAATTAGACGTTCATTGTGTAGTGTTTAAGATTTTCTCTCTTTTTTCTTTATTCGACCACTTGTATATAGGTTTGTTGCCTGTTAATCATTTTTTGCTGAAATATACATATATACATATATAATTCCCTATATCTTTTGTTAAATATAGCACGTGTTGTCGCTTGACTTTTATATACTCACAGCTAATCTTACAATTCTCTCTAAAGCCGTCTTATCAGAAGTCCAAGTTGTTTTAAGTGGGATGTACTTTGATACATAATAAGTTTAACAAGATCTTAACAATGGGATAATATCTTATTACGGAGATAGTAATAAATCACCTAACAATCGGTAAGTGATATCAATAGGATGACACTAATAATCTAGGTAACAATAATTCTACTAACTTAAGTGAAATAGATAAGGTTTACTTTTTTAATTTCAGCATCAATTTTTCTGAAAAAAAAACCAAAGGTGGCTTTATCGTCCAAATATACAACACCATTAACTGGTTATTATCCGTATAGCAATTATGTTTCGTCTCCCATGGGAACAGATTCTTCCCCAATGAAGTTTGCCTATAGTGATCCGTCAAAAACTATGCCATTTGCATTTAGTTTTCCACAACACGAGTCATTACATTCTCTATCTTATAATGGTAATATCATATACACACACACAAATAATTTATAAAACCATTAGAGTTTGTTTTTTTTCTCCTCACTTTAGGTTCTCAGCGAAAACAGCGTCGTGAACGTACGACATTTACTCGAGCTCAATTAGATCAACTAGAAGCTTTGTTTCATAAAACAAGATATCCCGATATATTTCTTCGCGAAGAGGTAGCATTGAAAATAAATTTACCCGAATCAAGAGTTCAAGTAAGTGTTTTCTACTTTTTATTTTTCTATTTATTAGAAACTTTCTCTTTCTTAAGGTATGGTTCAAAAATCGAAGAGCCAAATGTCGTCAACAAGACAAAGCAAAAAATCCAAAACCATTGTCATCCGTTCATCCCGACAAAACAACAGGACCATCAAATGAAACATCTCATCCTCATGACCCACCAACAACACTAAAACAAGAAGCAAAAAGTCCAATATGTTCCAGTCCCGTTTCATGTAAAGCGGTAGCACCAACAATAAATGGATGTAGTGGTGGTGGAAGAAACAGTCATTCACCAACAAGTGCCGGTGGTTCGGCGTGTTCATCGACAAATACTACCAGTAGTCAATCACTTTCATCACCCTCATTCTATCGCACCGATACTCTCGCCGCTCAAGTAGCCACAGCTGCTTGGTCCACACAGGCAGCCGCTGCTTATCATAACATATCGTATCCAAATTCGACTTATAGTCCACAAAACTATTCCGCATTTTATTCTGATTATAATTTTCAAAGTATGTACAAAAATCCCACGACCTATCCAAATGGTCTAGCAGTACATTCAAATTCTCCCTATAGACATGATGAATTTTTACAGCCAAATTATACAGGACGTCAACTATCTCCAGATGATGTTTGGCCAACAAAATTTCAAAATTTCTGATTAATAACAAAGACTTCTTATGTTTTGCCTTTTATCAATAACAGTGATGCGTGTATATCTCTTTATTTCTGTGTAAAATCTTCTTTTTCTTTTTTTTTGTCATATCTTCTAACAATTACACGTCTTGCTAAATAATTGTATCCAAACAAAAACGTAATTTATTCGTATCATCCACAAAATGAACTAGTTTTTTACTTCACTTCATCAGACATATTCATCCCTTTCCTGCTTTGCACACAAAACAGATTCTAATTGTTTTTTAAATGCGACACTTTTTTGGTTTGTCTTGGTTTAATATCCAATTGATTTGATATAATTATCATTTACTTAACCATTAACGATAGGAAAACATTAAAATGACTTTTTTATCAAGTCAAATATATATATATATATACATATATATTTTTATCTTTCATTTCTCCCATGTTGTTCATCTTTTGTTCTCGTTTTATTATACAATAACATTTGCACAAATCGTATGTTATTAGTATAATGAGAAACTTCAATAATCGAAATTAGATAAACTCTTAATAACAAAAAGGAAAAAGAAAAAAAATAATACATTTAAAGAAATTGGTATACTAGAAGAAAAAAAACATTTTTTTATGTTTTTAACTAATTGTCAAAAGAATAAATCACAAATGATATGTTTGTGTGCGTTATTGAAGAAAAAGATAATTAATATGTTATTTTTATGTGAACGAATAAAATTTAACGTACTGGGATGAAGAATAGAAAATGTTCGTAAATATGAAGTGGCATATTAGTATGAGCTTTGTGAACATTGCCAATAGCTAGATTTTTTGAGATACCTCTAAATTTCAGTGTGTGATTTTGATTTATAAATAGTAATAATAATATCTATCTTCCTTTTGTTTTAGACTAAATCATTTGTTTTGCTTTTTCTGCGTGTTTAAAAGAAGAAAAAAAAATCTCAATGAGTCTATCTATTTTATATGACATTTTTATTTTGTTTTTCATTTTATTGACATAGGTTGGATTCTGGTAGAAGATTAGCTTATTTGTCAATATAGTAAAAACAAAAAAAGAAGAGTGAATAGATTAAGTTTTTTTTCACTTAGACAAAGTCAATCAAAAGTGCTTGGTACTTTTCTTTTATAAATGCTTGACTTTTTTCTATTAAGAAAAAAAATAAACTGCGATTAGATTAGTAAAGTAATAGGAAACATTTTTCATTTTACTAATGTATTCATGTTGTGTATAGTTATATTCATCGATGGAATCTAGTCTTATCAGTAAAAACAATTGAATACTTTTTTTTTTTGTAGAAAATGTGATTTGGTAGTAGCCTTAGATAGTACTAGAAAATTATTTTAAAGATCGAATGAGTAAACAAAAAAAAAAAATCAATGAATGTATATCTTCATCTCGATTTTTATTGGTCAGTTGATATTCATTCATACTATTGTATGCAGACAAAGTTTATTTTATACGATTTGTTTGCTCTAAAAGATCTAATATTATGCATGAATAACAACAATCTGTTTTACGTCAAACGATGTCGGTCGGACTCTCTTCTTGGAGTAGTTCTATTAAGGAAGTATATATTGTTTTCTAAGCCGATTAAGCAGCAAGTATTCAAGATGTAGATACATGTTCAATATTGTTATTCTCTCTCTCTCTCTCTTTCTCTAACAACAAATGAAAATTTGAAACGACAACATCCTATTATTTAACGGAAGAAGAAATTGTTGTGAGAAAAAATGATACAAAAGAGGAAAAAACGTTATGCAACGGGAAAGTTTATTATCATCAAGTAGTTTTCAAAAAATATCATGCCGAGTTAAATCTGATGATACGGGGATAGATCGAAAGTACTAATGTAACAAGTTGATGTAATGAATCTAATTAAGCTTGGAGCCAAAAATTTTAAATTTTGGGATAATTTTAAAAACCAAAATTAGTTGTGAGAGATTCCAGAAATAATGAAGGTTCTCAATGTGAAAGCTGTTAATACAATTTAATATCTTTTTTTTAGAAAATTTTTCATTATAGTACTTGAAAATTGTTGATGTACTTCAACGAATCAAAGAGATTGAATAATTCAATGTATATGAAAAATAGAAAAACGCGTGCCGCATACACCCTAAAGGTAGTAAAAGGCTTATCCTTTTCACGGCGTCAAAACATCGCGTTATAGCTGTAAAAATGTTTTATTCTATTTTCTTTTCTCTTTCGTTTCTCGCTAGTTCATTATTGTATAGCGAATACTCAACTTAATAAAACTTAATCATGTTTTAGACACGTAAATGTGTTTCATCACAGAAACATAGTGTATAACGCTTTTTTTTTTTAATAGAGAAACTAACGCTCATTTCTTTTTCATAAATAATTAAAAAAAATTTTCACATATTAATCGATAGAATACAACTTTTTTTCTATTTCATTATAAATTTACTGGCTAATCAACAACCATTGACTGAGTGTCGTTTCTATTTGAATGAGAAGATTTTGAAAGCTCATAGTCTTATCATAAAAGTTTTATAATATAATACGCTTATAAGCAAATCATGAACTTATTTGGGCTTTTTTTCAGAACGTTTATTTTTAGAAAAAAATCACTATAATATATTGTCATGGCAATGTTCAACTGATAGTGGCAAATCAGGATTTTGGCAGTGAAAGGAAGACGTCGAATGTTTTCTCAATCCATTCTAAGTGTTAAAAGTTTTTTTTTATCCCATAGAATACTTATACATGACTGAAAAATTCTTGTTGTCGCATCCTTTACAAACACAACAAAGTTCGCTACTCTGACACTATCCAATCTTTTTTAGAAACAAAGAGACAAGATGCATACTTGTTTAGTTGACCATTGTTTATTTGTTTACTTGCATAGACTTTAGACTAAATTCAAATGAACGGTTTAATTTTTATTTTCGAGAACTGGGAAATTAACAGCGGGATACTCAGCATCTCTACTGTTTGCTTCTCTTAGTGGTTCCATGACTATCATCAGAAATGGGTATCTTATAACGAGATATAATACCATTTATTCTTAGCTATAATAGCTGACACTTAAATAGAAACACTTTTTCGAGTCTTCTAAATAGAGATCACTTTTTTTGATAAAATGTAGTCTCATTTTAGAAGTTTTAATTGACATCAAACAAACATTAGAGGGTGGAAAGCAAAATGAGAGTGAGTACAAAAACTAGTGCTCGCAATTAAGAAGTAGCCCACTTTTTTCAATTATTACTATGTCTGATATCGAGAAACATCTGTGTGTGAATTACTGTCCGTGATTTATCGAATAATATAGTGTTTATACTATTTTCAAGGTCTTTACACTACTTTTATGACAGAAGAATTTTAAAATTAAAAGCTCTAATAAAACGGATGAAATGATCATGATTACAAAAAACTTGCTTGCTGAAAATTGACAAAGCAATTTTGCAGTTTCAGGGGTAAATTTCTGAAATAAAAAATAAAGAGCAATAATTTTGATTTCTTCTAAAACAAAAGATATATTCTTTTAAAATCTCTATTAAAGCTTATAAACTTTTAGATCAGGAATAAAAAAAGTTTTACAATTTCTATTTATTGATTTGACGTAATATGTCTAATTAAATAAATATGTTTTAGCCCGTAAACTATTGATTTGAATGTGCCTTCCGCTTTCTTTTGTTATTTAGATTTTCTATTTAAGATACATATTCGAGAACGTATAATCGAATAATTAAACTGAAAAAAAAACATGTCTTCTAACTAAAGAAACTGATTCATCCCTCTTTGTTTCGATGGAAAGAAGAGAAGTTAATGTATGCTTGGCCATGATGATCTATTATTTACCTGATCAACTCACTCACTTTCTCATCGAAGACATTATTCAAGTTGATGATAGAAAAAAAAAAGAGAATACATCAAAAGCGTATATACCGCGAAGGAAGTTTAATGTTACAACACAAATAGTGTATGACGTTAATCTATTCAATGTCTTTGCCATCATCATTGTATTTACAAAACCACAGTTCACCTATCTATAGACGGACACTTTACTCCTATTACTTTAAAATACACCACTCATTCATGAAACACTCCGAGAGATATTAACTTCGATTGAGATTAATTACGTTCATCTAAAGTTTTTACTAAACCATATTCCTGTATAGAACACAGTCGTATGAGTGATTAGTCTAACAACTACTTTAATCGCATTCTATTTTGCATTTTATATATGAGACTCTTTAGTAAAACTAATATATATGGAATTTGGCTATCACCTTCAAATATTTATCAAGCGATTTTTGATATTTATTATACTGTCTAATGCTTAACCATCATTATTCCTACAATACGTCAATGAATGTCATTTGAATCAAAATACTTTACTTCAGTACTATATGCCGGTTCAGCTCGTTAGAATGCCGGAAATCTTCATCACCTGAAATATATTACCGACCGTGATTTAGATATGAAAAAGAAAACAAAATTTATTTAAGGATTGAAAAGTTCCGTTCTGATATTTATAAATCTGAGCGAAAGATAAACTTAAAAATTTACACTTTTATAACAGGCGGTAAATTGTTCAAACGATTCTTTAAAGAAATGGTACTAATATCATTGACACTCTAAAAATAAACACAGACGACGGCAATGTATTTATCTTTTATAGTGTGTATGTTCGTTCACTATAAGAATATACCTGGATGATATGATTTTTGGTATCACAACCGCTTATTAAACTAAAACATCAGACATAAGCTAAAAGTAATTGGATCAAGAGTTTTCTAGTAATAGAATAACACCAGCTTTCAATTTTTTGATTACGATTAAGTTTGCTGAACGTTGATTTAGTATTTGTCTCATTCTCATGGGAATGTCTCTATGTTTACTGACAGTGCTATATGAGACTAACTGTGCATGTTTGTGTTCTCTATGCATATAGACAGCCAAGTAGTAAAACGGAACAATAATTGGATGCACATAAGTTTTTATTGACAAATTGTTTCAGCATATAAATAGATTCTCCTCCCAAA